TGATTCTTCTCGTATCCTCTCTTGATTTTACCCAGGTTTCTTCACTCTACCATTCTTTGCTGTATCATCTTTTATCCCTTTCAATCACTGCCATTAACAAAAAAAGAGGCATATATAGAGCAGTTACATCCAGTCTGATGCTATAGAAATCTCTTGACTGACTGTGACATACAGTACATCATGTGCTCAGCAGTGTATGTGTAGCCTCGGGGAGCATCATATGCGTGAAGGCTTTCAAGCTTTTTCAATTCAGCACTTGAGACAACATTTCTTTGTCCTGACTCAGAGAGTATATGGTCCTTTTTAATTTGTGCAAATTCAAAGAACACAGAGCCCTACATGTCTGGAGAGAGAAAACCAGAGGTTCAGAGGTGTAGAGATGTAACTTGTAGATACATACAGTACATTAAGGGAGGAAATGTGATGTGTATCTACCAGACAGCAAAGGAAACTCGTTGGTTTCAGTCTGGACTCAGACCAATACAGTGGGCTATACTGATTAAAAAAAAAAATTTCACTTATGAATGGAAAGATATTCCAAGACTTTAGAAATAACCTGATAATATTAACTGTGAACATATATGACTTTACCTCAGAAAAGTATGTATATATGTCCATATTTAAGATGAAAAGAAAAGGACAGACGACATGTAACATTTGTACATTTTATTCATTCATGAAAAAAACCTTTTTTATATATTTTTTCAGGGTTTGTTTCCCCAGTGTTGTGCATTTCACAGTTTTAAATATCTGCCAGAACTGACCCATTTTCAAGTATTGGTGTAAAAGTCAAAGCTGAACACAAGAACACATACTGCTTTAACTATTTCAGTGCTGTATTTCCAGACAACAAACCAAACAAAATGAGAAACATACACAGTTGCTCATAGTATTGTATGTACTACATTTGGGGTTGTATTATAATACTGTATTATGTTATTTAATTTCTGAAAATTAGGAGAACAGCAACATGAACCCGACATGTGGAACATCAATTTTTCTTTTTCACGGGATAAAACCAATAGTAAAAGCCAGGAAATGAAGGCAGATGGTCCTGAGTGTGAAGTTGGGATGTTTTATTGGTATAAAAAAGGGATGTCTCAAAGAGGGTTAAATAACTCCATAAGGAGCTGAAGCAAAGGTAGCAGCCCTCAGAAGATCTGTGTTGGTGTGGGTTTAGGAGAGGAGGCTTTTGATCGCTTGGCACAGCCGTACAAGCACAAAACACTACAACAAATAATGTCCCACATGGCTACATTTGCATTTGTGATGTTTCTCTGGAAATACAAATATGCTAATTTAATTATCAAAAACAACTGAAAACAGGCCTATTATTAAGTGCCAAGAGGTTTTTGAATTAACAATATTATACTGCATAGATTTGGCTTTGTCCAATTTTGGCACTCTTTGTCCTCCATACAGCAAACAAACAATGTGCAGTTTTGTTTTTCTGTGGCTTAGCTAAGGAAGCACATAAAGCATTTATGAAGTCTGTCTGCGTTGTGAAGATAAAATACACATCATTAACACAAAGTCAACAGATTCAGACACACACCGAGAAGACAATTAGTGCCCTTTTCCTAACATCAAACGCCGTTGATAGTTGACAGGCACCCACTCAGTGACTTCAGTACTTCAATTTCTTTTTTCATATAAAAATGTCATCGCTCTTGTTTATCAACAAAAGAGATACATATATCATTTCCTGTTTATTAGTAGAAAGGTGTGTCTGTGCATATGGCTTCGTAGCATGTGTTCAGACGGTCCACGTGCATGGCTGATAAATGAGTTCACACTGCCAATGTGACACTGCTGTGACAATCAGATACCACACCAGGCCTGCTCCTTTCCCCTTAGGGTGTTTGTGTGTGTGTGTGTGTGTTTGTGAGGGGAAGCTCTGTCCCTGTTTTATGACAAGGGCGTAACCTTTCCTGCAGTGTGCGTGCGTGCGTGCGTGCACATGTGCGTGTGTGTCTGTGTGTGAGAGAGAGAGAGAATCATGACTCAACAACAGCAGAAGTGCATCAGTGAAACTCCTCATCCTCCCTAAATCCCTCCAATGGGATTTAACACAGACATGACCACACACACACACACACACACACACACACACACACACACACACCCCTTGCGAATGCGGGCCTCTGCGTGTCAAGGTTTAATTACATTACATGTAGTCCAGCTTGAATACTATCCACGGTTTCCGCAGGTCATCGTAAGACATTACGAGGCAGTCCACGCTACAAATGTCCCCACACTAGGGCAGGTGAAAGGTCATTGAGTTCTTAACATGAGCCCCAGTTTTTCTAAATGGATTCAGTTTGTTGTCACCTTCATATTTATTCCCCTCAGGGCCACTCGACTGTCCACAGTTTAGTTTAGGAATGTGGTGGCTCCTCTCACATGGACACGTTGCCACCCCTGACCTTTGCTATTTGACCTCACTTAAACCTCACCCATGACTCTAGCTGGCCCTTGCGTCCACAGCACGACTCGGCACAGTTCAGTCCATCTAGGGCATGTAAGTGTGTCACTGCAGATCTAATTATGACGGCAGTCCCCCAACTAGCCTCTTACTTCTCTTCTCCTTCTCCCATCACTACGACACCCTGGGACTCGGCCCAGGGCAGAGGCCATCGCGGTTACGAATGAACCGAGTTGAGCAGCGGTGTCTGATGAAGCCATGTATGGGCTTACAATGTAATTCTAATATCAACTGAGCCTTTTGCTAGCTAATTCTCCAAAGAAAGTAAGGCTGTCATTCTAGTGAACTAGCATACCATTAGATTTAAACTGGAAACCATTTCACACATGGTTAAGTAAATGTTTAAACGTTTTGGACGTTACAATGTTGTTATCTTCAGATGGATGTGAGAATGGTATTAATCTTCTTTTCTAACCCTCGGCAAGAGAGAAAATAAGCATATTTCCCAAAATGTTGAATATTTCTTTAAGGTTTTAGTAAAAATCTTAAAACCACATGCAGGCTCTGCCGAGTTAAGCCACACAATAATTCTGTTTTGTAATGGTAAAACAGACAGAATATCCTAAAAGACACAAAGAAATGTGATCTGAACCAAGTGTGAAGGGTGAATGCTTTGTTCAGTCAGTAGTAAAGAGATGCTAATACACTGAAACAGCAGCCTACAAATCTTTGTGAAATACATGAGCAGATCAGACTTGCATGCAAATTTCCCTCTTTTTTTTTTTCTTTTTTCTTTGGTTGGAGGCAAAACACAGGGACTTGGTGAGCACAGTGAACTTGCAAAAATGTTTGTAGCTTCTGTAAACTACAAAGCTCTGAAAGCCTCTGAAAAAACTGGCCATTAACAGAACAAACTCACAGAGCTCATTAGCAGATTTAAAAAAAGAGTTTTCATTTTTGCGGCTGAAGCCATGCTCAAAGATTAACATTTAAATGGGCATTATTTCATTTAATGTTGGTATTTAGCTGACCAGAGCTGTTTGTTTATGCGTGTGTATGCGTCGGTCTCACATTTGCTGGCGGTAAAATAAAGAGACGAGCCACACATTTCTGCAGCAGGAGCTACAACTGGCAAAGCAGGGAAGTGGGTCATCTATATGCCAACCGAGCAGTTGGGATCAAACTTGCATGCCTCCTGCTCTGCTTTTCAGCCTCGACAACAGATAAAAAGTGAGAGAAAGAAGAGGGGAAGGCAGGAGAGGAGTGAGAGGAGAGATTAAATATTGTAGAAATTAAATATAGAAAGAAAGTGGATGTTACTGATTTAAAGGAAGGCAACAATAATAAATACAATGTGTAATGATGAGTGAGTGTGTCAGATGAGTGGATGACAAAAACAGGGCATAGGTATCCTGCTGTTCTTGTACTCCAGTTATTAAAAGTTATTCCCCTTTTCTGACTGCTTATTAATTTAAAGTATTGATTGTTCAACGTGAGCAACGCAAACACTTGCTCACTGTGGCAAGACAGAGTAGGCAAGACAGGATGGATGACAAAAGAGAAGGGAAGGAAGTGTAAGAGGGGCCCTGAGATGAAGTGATACAGAGAAAGGAAAACTTGACGAACTTCTGACGTCGAATGCTACGGCCGCCATTAAATAGAATAAAGTTAATGAAATGAGGTTAACTTTGCTTTTGAGTACCTTTTGCTCAAGTTGTTGTTGGAAGTAGAGTTTCATGTGCTTAGTGCTATTGACAAGGGTTGGCTCAACTGGTGTTCTCTGTATGTCCGTCTGCACAGAGCATCTCTTCTGTTGCATAATGCACTTGAAACACAACTAGTTAGCCTGGTTGTATAACTGTGTCTACACATAATGCTGGTTGTACTTGTGAGACAATACATTTGTCAAGTAAATGCAACTGAACATAAAAAAAAGCCTAAATTTCAGACCCAGTTCTTCTTCTGTGGTGTCACTCATGTCCTAAACCCACACATGCCAGCAACAACAGTCTGGAAGAGAGGGGACAAATGAGCAAAATACTGCATTGCACTTTGTTTAAGGCTAAAAAGTTTGCAGTGGAAAGCGATGTAAACTTAAGGCAGCATGGATTGAATGTCTTGCATGTTTTAAAAACAAAACAAACTAAAATCTAGTATGTCACCCAATGCAATTTGCCATGTAAAGCACATGACAACAACAACAACAAACAAAATAAAATGCACTCTCTCCAAACCCATAAATAAAAACACAACTGTATATGTACACAACATTTGTGCATATCCATGTAGTAGCAGACATGGTCATGTAAATACTCCACCCACACTCACAAACCTCGTATCACTCGACCCAAAGAGCCAAAATATAAAATATAAAATTAAAAAAACTAAACAAAGAAATACCCTTGTTTATTATTTTTGCAATGACTTCATTTAGCACAGTGAGGCCCGACCCAGTTTGAAGGTAGAATGGTTGCAGTTTGTTCACTCCAGTTTTAAAAGTACTGTATGTTTAACTAGCCTCCGCCCTCATAGCAACAGCTGGTCTTTTTTTTTTTTTTTTTTTTTTTTTTTTTCAGAGAGCTGGTTTCATTTGTCTCTGTCTGTTTTTCTCTCTGAGTAGTTTTAAAATGTAAGAGAGGAGAGTAAGGAGGCAAAAACGGAAGAAAACGTATGTCAAAGAAAGGTTAAAGCAGTGAGAGCTGGTGAAGAGCAGGAACGGAAGAAAGAGAACAAATAAGAGATGATACTGTTAAAGTATCCAAGGCCAGTCTGGTCAGTGAAACAGGTCAGTATTTGGGTGGGATGACCACCACGGGGTCACCATTCTTTGGCCGCCACATCAGCACCTGGGCGTCATTGGCATTGGGCTTGACCATGGCGTTAGCAGGGATGGGCTCATTCTTGCCCAGGATTTGGGGCTGTTCCTGGGCCACGGGCTCGTTCAGAATGGCCCTGTGACCCAGAGGCTTTTCTGGGTCCACTTTGATGTGAAGCCGCATCCTCCAGCGGATTGTCTGCAGGACGAGCGTCTCTGAGGTGGCCTGGTTGATCGCCACCAGCCAGGTCGTAAAGCTCTGGTCGCGGTGGATGCTGCTAAGCTGAGGCACATTGCTGTCACTGACCGGCACGCCCCAGGTCACGCTGGGGTAGAAATTGTCGTTCATACTGACGGTGAACTTGCTGTCCTTCTTGGTGGGGCCTACGACAGTGCAGGTCTCCGTGGTGTTGCCGTACCATGGGTAGTTGACGCCATCCGAGTCACTGATGGCTTGGATCTTGCCGTCACGCAGGTCGGGGAGCTCCCAACTCGACCTGGAAGTTGACAGGAATCATCAGAAATAGGATCTTTAGGTCATAGTTTTGGTCATGTTACAATAACATTTTATTAATTGAACCAGGAAGCTCTCTGTAAACTGGCATGGATGTTCTCTTTTCTTTTCCAAATACCTTATATGTGCCTTGACCTGTCTGTCTTCTTTTTAGTGATACCAACACAAATTTTTTTAAAAACTACAAAAATAAGACCCAAGTTGTAATAAACTTGAATTATCCTGAAGGTTTAGCTCTTACACAATAAACCATACCACAGGATTCCTCGTGTAAAAAGCTCTCCTGTCTAATGCTTTCTGTATAAATATCTGTGCATTTGCATCTCGGTAATCTCCCTCCTGATATATCACTGTCTGTCCAACAACACATGACAGATGCAAGAAGTTCATTCAAAGCCTCACAGTTGGCTCTTTCTACCAAATTTGAAACAGCTGAGGAAAAATACAATACAACTATAAAATATTGTGACACGCACAGCGGGCGACGCTGAACGGCTTAAGTGACCTGGTACCTCTAGTCTGTCCACATATTGATTTTCTGCCTGCAGCAGGAAAAAGATTACCTTTTTTTCCCTGAAGCTGAGGACCAGCAGAACAGAGGAGATAACAGTGTGATCACAGCCACATGACTTACTGTCTGCTTGGCCTGGCCTCACATTGTGATTTATGCATTCACCCAGGGGGTGAGATTAGCATGTCAGGCATGATATCAGCTGGCCCTTGTGTGTGTGTGCGCGTGTGTGCGCGTGTGCGAATGTGTGAGTGCGAATGTGTGAGTGCACGTGTATGCATATGTACTTCTTTTTTTTTTTTCTCTGAAAAATCACTTAATCCTCTCAACCAATGCCTCCAAAACAATTTGCAGCAATCCATTCTGTCAGTGGCATAAACTCAGGTAACTCCAATACAATGCAAAACAGTTTGATAGCAATATCCAGCTTTTAACTGTATAGACAATATGGCCTCACAAGCACATTGTACTCATAAACATGTAATTATTTTCCTTCATTAGGTGGTATTTTCCATCAAAAGTTAAACACCTAAATGTCATTTTTTTTTGGCAGAAAAACTGAGACTTGGTCCTGTACATGAATTGCTCTGAAATTGTCATGGAAAAAAAAAAACTACATCAAACCCAGAACAAATCAGTAAGTGTAAATGGAAAGGAGGGTAGACTGCACACACCCATTGAATAACTTTGATCATGACTGGGGAAAACAATGCAGAGATATGGCTCACTTCCTGTTTGACATAACCAAATGGTCTGCAGTATGTGGTGTGAGTATTTGTGACAGAACCACAGAGATGTTAAAAAATGAATTCACTTCTTAAAAAAAAAAAAAAAGCAAAAGAAAAAGTGTCTCCCAAGCATGTCAGTTATTGTAAATGTTGCATGCACCCTAGTACAGTGATTCCCAGCAAGGGGGTACTAAAAATTGAAAAATTGAAACTAAATTTAAAACAATAAGTATATATCCACATATGGATATATACTATACTGAGTCAGCTGAGTAATGGATAAATCGTTGAAATAGAGCTGAAAGTGACAGATAAACTGTAAAATGGCTTAGAATATCATAATAATAAGCTAAAATTAGCGGCTACATAGATGACATAGATAGTGAAGTAGTTAAAAGTAATGGATGAATTGCTAAAGTAGATACCTAAAAGTAACAAACAGTTGAAACAGTTAAAATAAAGTAATGGATGAATATTCGAAAAAAATCTATAGCTTCTGCCACTAGTAGTACAAATGCAAGTGTGACCAAATCAACTTAAACGCTGACAGTTCAATTGTATGGAAAAATAAGTTTGTGTTATATGTTTTATGTAGTTAAGTAATATTGTAACTAAATTGACCATATCAGGAACATGATTGTGTTGAACCTGAGTTAATCTCAAGGCCAATAAAAAGGCTGGGAGCCACTGCTGTAGTACATGGTTGCAACTATTTCCTGTTCAGCTATGACTTTAACCTCCAGTTACAATAAGCCCTGTGCTCTACACATCAAAACTGAGAGCTCTTTAGCAAACAATTAACTAAGGCAATATCATCTTAAGCCAAAAACAATATGTGATATTTGAAATATTAAAGCCTTAGGCCTGTTAACTACACAAAGGGTTATTAGAAGTTTGCAAACAGCTCTGTTGAGAAATGGTGTGTCTTACTGAGAGAGTTTGATCATGACTGAAGCAGAAGCAGAAGCAATGTGGAAACACGGCTAATTTCCTGTCTCTGCAGCTGTGTTGCCATATTCATTTGCATGTTAAGGGCAAGTGGTTCGGAGTAACAAAATTCTGTTGATAAGGCATAATAAAGACTCAAGAGATTAAATCAAGTTTCAAGTACAAATGAAGAAATAAGGTGCCAATGCAATCAGTTACCCAATTACAGCATGCTTTATCCTCACCACCAGTGATTTTTTTGTTTGTACAGACTACAACATTACCACACTGCCCTACTAAGTTTTTATTTTTGGCACCTTTAAAGTTTTAGGGCAACATAGCAGGCCTCACCTAATCACAACACACATTGGTATGTGCATCAACATGTGTGCATGCCTTTTTATAAATACACACATACTGTCCAAACCTACAAAACTGTACCTCTGTGAAGCTGCTCTAAAAGACAGGGGCAGGAGGGGATACGATGAATGTGTCCAGAATCCTGAGCACATCATCCAAAGCCACCCGAGAAATCATCCACATTACCATCCTCATCTGTTCTGTCTGATTACGGCACACTTAAGTTTTATTACCATCAAAGAAACTACTTAGTATGAGAGTATGAGCAGCAGCGAGAACAGCCTCATCTCTTGCATCCTAAGAGTGACTTCAAAAATGAACATCAAGAATAAATGGCCTTGATGCACTCGTGAAGTTCTGTCATTATCTGCCTTTGCTAGGAAGAAAATTTTAATGACTTGAAAAGAATTGAATATGATAATGTATGAAATACATTGTAGAGCGCGTGAGCTACAGGGGCAGACAAAATAATGTAAACACAGCACGAAGAGGGGAGTTGCCTGTGCAAACACTTTTGCAAAGGTGGGTGGGTGCATTCCAACACCCCTATATACAGTGTAGTACTATATATAAACTGTATCTGTTACGTCCATGTTGGTTATTTCCAACTTGAGATCACGCTTCTTCTTTGTCACTGTGGTTTGTCTGCATCCACCATAATGCTGACATGATTTTTGAGAATCTCTCCATTTTATGTTTGGTTGCTGTAATTTGGGCGTTTCCTGCCAATAGAACTATGTCAGTTGTCTCATTTAGCCATAAAGCACATTATCATATATCATATCATATCATGTACTTCTTACCATTGCTCTTTAATAGCTGACAAATTCTGCTCAGCGGCATTTAAGCTAATGTGACCCTTTTGAAGCAGCTTTTGTAATTTCAGAATTTAAGACATTTAAAGTGATGAGTTTGTGTTATTTTGGATTGTTAGTACTTTGTGAGATCTTTAAAAGAATCTCTTTAGAGCTGTAATGATTAGTTATTAGAAAATTAATCGGCCACCATTTGCTGGTTCCAGCTTCTTAAATCGGAGGATTTTTGTTTTTTCTCTGTTTTATATCATAGTAAACTGAATATCTTTTGGTTTTGTACTCCTGGTTGATGATAAAGAAAGACATTTTTAGTACAATTTAGAAACACTTTATAGACTAAATGATTAATTAAAAAAAAAAAAAAGATCAGCAAACTAATCGAAAAATTAAAATATTCATTAGTTACAACCTTAAATCTTTCACAACTGATAAAATTAGAAGAAATGCATTATATTGACTCTCTGTTTCTTCTACTGTGAGCACAGTCAAGTACAGTAGACTAGAAATTAGTGACCGTGTCCAGTTCTAAGTTTTAGGCTTCAAAATGGGGAGCTACTCGTTTATATTATGTTTCCTGATTGAATGTTTTTCTGTGTTTCTCTATATGGAAACAGTCATCATTAACTACAAAGACAGAAGAGCATAACAATTCAATTTCAGCAAGCTAGAAGAGTAAATATTCACAATACAATAGTGCAGCTTGGATGAAAGGGGCAACGATTGTAAACACAAATGCATTTTACCAAACACATCGATCAGACTGGACTTTTGGGGGTTCTCTCACTTTCTCACCTTCTCACCCTCTCTCTCACACCGACACACACACACACACACACACACACACATATGTGGGGCCGTAAAGGGGTGGGGGTGTAGGGGAGGGGACTGGGTCTCTAATCTTAGACGTGCAGAACTCTAACATCCTCTGCTGCAGTGCCTACAGATAAAGCTTATTCTGGGTGCACGTCGGCTTGTGGTTTGCCCACTACGGGATATAAGATATGCAACTTGTATAACATATGTATGTAGGGAAAAAAAGCAACAGAGAAAGTGAAACAGACCAGTTAACTATCACTCAGTGTTATGAGCCTTTTTTAAAGCTGCATTTGTTGGTGTTTGTCTTTAACCACTGATGCAAAATAACTGTATTGACAAGCGGGAGGGATCTGACAGGTCATAGCAATTATTTTCCATCACAATGTCCTACTCCCATATCTGTCAGGTTTTGAAGTACTTTGTAGCCTGCAGCCACAGGCCCACATGCTGCAGACAGCTGAGCTACTGATTGAATTAAAGTGCACTTACAGACAAGTCCATTTATCTTCATTCTCTGTAAATATTATCTTCCTGACAACAGATGTTAATGCCTAATATTTTGCATACACAGCACACAGTGATGCTGGGAAACCCAAATGCAACCAAGTTTCACTACTCAATAATATTTCCACTTTAGAGTCATTTTAGCATTACTTGCAATACAAAAAACAGGAACTCCAACACTCACAATCCAGCCCAGGAAAGTACGCTGATATAAAGCTTCTCTTTTGGTGGTTGGAACTGACTCTTTGAAACGATTCTTTATTTCGAAATAAGTGGCTAATTTACTTAAGAGTAGGTTTCTTTTCCTTGAGGTGACACTGGCTAAATTTTTTATCTGCATAGCTGAATATCAGCAACTATAGGAGGCTTAAAATTCAAACTTGTATTCTCCATAATTTTTAGATAAAACACTTTTCAACTACTGTTTCAAACAGCGTTGGATGGTATATTTAACATATTCTTAAAAGTGTTAGCTAGCTTTGAACTATTAGTTTAGCAACTTTAACTTAATGGACAACTTTTTTGGTAAACAATCATGTAATATTTCTTCTCAAATGGCAGGCATTGCTGCTTGCTCTTTGCCATTTGAGACAGTAAACTGTCGGTCAGACAGAACAACACATGTAGGGATGTCACTCTGGGCTCTGTGAAGTCGTTAATGGCATTTTTTCACGTTTTTGACATTTGTATCCCAACATTAATTGGTTAATAGGAAAGTAATTGGCAGATACTAATTGTTAGTTGCAGTCCTAATACATGTATGTGAGAATTAAGATGATAGCCTGAAGGATTCCAGTAAAAAAACTCAGAGGCTAACATAAAAATATGATGAATAATTTTTAGGCAAACCTTTTTTTACTTGTATGTTACTTCATAGAGAGTATCAAAGGGCTTCATTCCAGCGTTGGGGTTCAGTACCTCAAACATTAAACCTCTGGGGGAGTCTAAACCCAATGTTCTCAACACATGCTCATCACCTAACAATGATGATCAACGTCTTTACATACAGTAAAAAGGGCCCATGATACTCACATCCCTTTGTTTCCATAAGTATTGTAGAACTCCATGTGATTACACGCTTGAATCCAGCCGATGGTCCATGTCTCTTGCCCGGCCACTGGCGGCACCAGGACCTGGGCATGAGCTCGGAAGTGCGGTGTCCGGTAGCGCAGGACCACGCTGTTTGATTCGTCGATGCTGGTGGGGTTGTTATCGATGCAAGTGTTCACCTCCAGGACGATGATACTGTCTCGGAAACTCTTGGGCTTACACCTGATACTCTGGATACAGCCCATTGCATTAAACAGCAACACAATCCACAACAACGTCCAGAGGTCTGGGGGAGAAGAAAGACGCATGGAAACAGCAAGAAAATCACCACAGTTGGATCCTCATCATGTTTCCCTCAACCAAAAAAAAAAAAAAAAGAAAAGCTTACCAGAATGAAAAGTGTTTATGTACAGAGGACTGTCTCATAAAAAAGCCATGCATCTTTGATCCAAAACTACTTTCAGAAAAGAAGAGGAAGAAGAAGAAGACCGGCTTAGAAAGTCTTTGTATTCGTAGAGCGCATGCTTTCCGGTGCGTAAACCCAACTTCAGCAAACAAGCGCAGGTGCAATACCGTTCCTTATCCGTGCATTGATGTTTTCATGCTGTCAAGATACAAGCCATTGCCTCTTATATGTGCTCTATTACAAAAAGACTTGACCATCTGGCAAACATGCATCCATTGGAAAGTTGCGCGTAAAAGGTTCAGGTTAATTATGAGCTAAATAATTAACAAAAACTACTAGTGTTACCTCTTAGTGTCGTATTGTCTTTTGTGTGATTCTTTATTTCATTAGAGGCTAATCCCCGGACTATCATCTAATGGTTAAAGCTCTATAGACATCCAGCTGGTGACAAATCTTACTTGAAAAAATGTTAAGCCGGACAGTTTTTAACGATAAATGGCAGGTCAGATTGAATAGAGCTGCCTAGTGTGCATTTAATCCGCAACAGCCTCAATTTAAAAAAAAAAAAAGAGGGGAAAAAAGTGTAATTAACGATTCATCAGCGTTACTGGACGTTATATTTTACGTCAATACAACATGTGTGGATTAAAGGTTCATGTTGTGCAACTGCATGAATTGTGGTCTATTTTTAACCGACAAAAACAACATGCAAAAAAAAAAAGAAGAAGAAAAAGAAGAAGTCTACCTATAAAACAGTTCACTGGAAAGTCTCCAGTGTCTTCAGCAGGGCGAAATCCTGGAGAAAATTCAGAGTGAACAGCGGCTCTCACAGTTTCTCGGTCAGAGAGGTAATTCCTTTATCTCCTTCACGCCGGCTCCCGTTATTTCTCCCCCAAGTCTATCGCCGAAAAATTATTATTTCACCGTCCCACAGGGAGAGGTAGCATTTCCACAAGCACTGAGATCTAGTCGAGCACCGTAACATCCAGAGGACACCGCCGGGTCAACTTTAGCACCCATTTCACCGGATCCATTCTAAACATTTAAAAATAAATAAATATGAAAAAACAACATAGCGGCTCTCTATGGAGAACTGCCAGCACATAGTCACACACAGGGCGAGCGAGCCGGCAGCCGCGCGGTCCTCTCTGTGATGGGATGCAGTTCAGCCTAAATTCCTGCACAGGCTGTCATTTCTCCGAGCTCGTCCCATCGCTGCCACGGCAGGTTCACCCCGCTACGCATTGGTCTATTTCAGCTGCCTGGGAAGCAGCTCTATAAGTATCTTTGACACGACACTTCCGCCCCGAGCTGCGAGCATGCTGGGAAATGTAGGCAGTAATGTTTGTGTGAGGCTGCGGTATATCGTCTCAAAGCACATTGTTTAAGCTGCCGTGTAAAAGTAGCTTAGATGTTTAGAGGGTAGGAGATGGTTGGCTTCTGTTCTAATTCAGCATTCAAAAAACTGACTTTTGTGCACATGCACGTTCAAATAACAATAGTCCAATTGCATAGGCTAACAATAAAAATAAAAATCAATTATTAGGCTATCAGTATTATCGGCCAGTGGCCTATATAATATTCTTTACTACAGGTTTTAATTTGGACATGAATTATTACTTAATATTAATTTCTTGATAATGGCTTAATTATCTGTTTGATTTTCTTTAGACTTCTTACATTGTAATCTTCAACTGTAAATGCAGTTTTGGCAATACAACTTAACATTAAGATTTATTATTTATTTATTTATTATTAATTTACTGTGCAAAGAGGTTTCGGGGCAGGTGTGATCAGTGTAATCAATAATCAATATGGTCTGTGGTTTGACAGTCATCTTTTATTCAGTCACAACACATTCATTCATTCGTTCATTCACTTGCTCTCTTGTTTGTGTGATTTGTATTTGGTCGCACAGTGGTAGGATATTTGAAAATCCTGCCTCCGTCTCCATCATGATGAAGAGCTCCACTGTCCCGCCGCTGTCTATTTAAGCACCTTGGAGAACTCCGCTCCGCAGCACAGCGCACCGCAGAGGCTGAATCGGGACTGTGCGTAAACTACGTCAAATCCGTACGGAGGCTTCACTGGCAGCGCCGCCTTGTCTTCACCCTTTGTTGGTGATTTTTGCCTGACTCTTAACTTCTTCAGCTTTTGCCTGCATTGCCTTATAGCTATAGGACTAGAGTCCCCTCTCCTCGCTGCCAGGATATCAGAGGTGTTGTGGAGACTGCAGGGGAGATTTAGAGTGATGCTGTGTGGTTCATAGCTCTTCATCCCTTCGCCGGGTAAGATGACAACACCGTGTCTTGCGTATTTCTTGCACCTTTTTCTACACTGAGCCTGTCTTTCTCAGAGGTACCTGTTAGCTTGGTAGCGCTGTGCCGTAACAAGATACGCATGTTGTTATTATATCTCCATGCTGTAGATCGGGTTTCTCTGGATTGGCCGAGGCAAATGCCATTCAGTACACTCTCCCTGTCCGCATGGTATAAACAGCATGGCCACCGCACATTCCAGTGGGTCTAAATATATCTATTAAGGCCACAGGAGGGGGAGGACTGGTGCATGGTGGGGGTTTATCCTGGGACATTTCACTGCCGTGGTGTACTCGCACCACTTGAATTATCTTCCGGAGATTGACAATCGGTTATTGCACCCACAGAGGCGAACTTGGCCCTATCCAAACATGCCCTCGAGTTACAATGTGAGATCCAGGGCGCGGGAGAGAAACAGTGTCCTGAGCAGACCTGAGTTCATGTCCTTGAATCATCAGCCCCTCCGCGGCGGCAGCGGCAGCAGCAGTGGCAGCGGCGGCGGCGGCGGCGGCGGCGGTGGCCCCTCTGAAAGCCGAGGCAGCGCGAGGCGACCGGGTCAAAACAAGCACCAAACAAGCCAGCAGAGTGAAGAACCTACCGACAGTGGCAGCAAGGACAGGAGAGAGCCCAGCAGAATGCCAGAGGAAGACTGTATGCAGCTGAACCCTTCATTCAAGGGGATAGCAATGAATTCCCTCCTCGCCATTGACATCTGTCTGTCCAAGCGCATGGGGGTGTGCGCCTACACGTCGTCCCCCTGGGGAGGCTGCCGCTCCATGGTCACCCTGTTAGCGCTCACAGGGCACGGCATCACGTGGATCATTGGCACTATCCTGTGTCTCACAAGGAGTAACACTCTGGCTGGACAAGAGGTCCTGGTCAACCTGCTGCTTGGTAAATGCCACATCACACTCACCAGCCTGTCCAAAACATGCAGTTCATCCATAAAGTGCACCTCATGCGCCATGGCTGTATGAACAAGTTTACACCAAGAACCAAACCACTAGAATGACCTGCACCCACAATCTTCCTTTTACTTGTGCCCACTTTAATTCTCACCTGGGGAATGGGTCAGCTGTGCCAGTCATGCAAAATAGTCCAACCATACAATCACATTTCCAAAGAATATACTAGTTTAATATAAGCGTTTACTTAACTTCTAAATGTGTGTGAACAACACTTTCTGTTTCTTTTTAAGTGTCCCACACAGTCTAATGCAATCCAGTGCAGTAGCCCCACAATAAGTACCTTTCAATCGACATCATCTCATGAAACTTTTGTTTAATTGTTGTGGTTTTTAGTGTGAGGTACATACTACTGCATATGATGCAGCCATACAATACAATCTAATACAGCCACACACAAAGTATTGCTGCGGAATTACAGCAATTGACCAAAGTTGTGTTTTGCATCACTTTTTTGAGTTGCATCACACAATGGTTGATGTGCTTTATAGTTTTAACTGCAAAACAAGCTGCCTTTGATCAATGCTCATTCAGAAGCGAACGGATTCTCAAACATTTCAAGGCCCGCCAAATATATTGAGACATTAAGCTTGTTAACTGCCCATGTTTGAGAAGGTTTTGTCCTGCGGGTCCATACATAAAAAGACCCTTGTTGTTTTTGATCCAGTATTGAATTGTTGCTCTGTCTCTGTTGGTGGTAATAACAGCGTGAAGAAGTAGAACAACAAATTTTATTTCAATATATTTCTGCAGCAAATAGCAGATGACACGAAATTGAATTTTTCACAATGACTGGGGAACGTGTGTGTGTGCGTGCGTGCGTGCGTGCGCACACGGGTGCACGCAGCCAAGTGCACATACCCACACACACCCACACACGCAGAGTCTTGACCCCCATACAGATTATTGACCAAAAAGCAGTACAAATCCCCTGCCTGTGGCAACATTGAGCTCTGATTGGAAGCCAGTAAATCTCTGGATTTGGGACACACTTGCTTTGTGTTTGGAACATTGTTCAACCCCAAATGCTTGTTCATTATGCGTTGGTCCAGGATAATTTTAGTCTATCGAGGTCTGTCAGGAGAAAATCTACGAACATACTTAACCATGGGTGGGGAATTAATATTTATTGCTTCTGATTTGTTTTCCTGTAGACTGGTCTGTCAGGATTGGTTAAATTCAGCCTACAGTTAAGCCCATATGAACTGTGCAGTGCAGAAATATTTCCCATATAGTGTTTAGAAAACAGTGTAGCCACACAATAACTGGGACTATCTATAGGACAACTGGACGTGTCAGAGGATCCAAAAGCAGACCTTGACTGTGCAGAGGATGTTCCCACCCTTATCAGCTGCAGTGTAGTCCGACTGGGGTGTTTTCTGCTTTCTTTCTCTGTATGACTTAAATTCCTTCAGTGACCTAATTACTCCACTTCTCAAAGAGTTTGTGTTTGCTTATAATAATGCAACTCCATTTGAAGAGTAGAAGAGTTATAAACAACTGCTGTGGATGATTCAGGCATGAAAATGGTGCTAAAGTGTCAAGGTTCTTTTTGCACTGATTAATCAACCTATGCGTTAAAGAGGCCCTTAAAGTAACTTAACATATATCAGCAATGACAGAGCAGTTTACTTACACTGAAAGTCTTTATGGCTTATACTGTACTTTCAGTTTTAGTATCTTCGAGTGTGAGAGTGAGCTGATTGCTAACGCAGTCTTTTAATGCATATAACATCAGATTTGTCCTTAAAATTTAGGGTTCAGAGTCACTTCTTTATAAAAATTATGCTGTTATTTCATTTTTATTTAATTCATGTTTTTTTTAAGGACAGCAGGCATTAATCAACATCTCTGTAAATGTGCCAGTTGGCAAATTTTCAGCTGCAGTCCTTTGGCAAGATGTTCTGAAACCAGTGAAGGGATAGTTCAAAATTACAGAGGACACAAGAGAGGAAGACCAGAAAGAACAAGAGCAACAAATTACGCATTCTCAAGACAGTGCATAAGCCATTCATATTTACAGATTTGCATGGGGAGGAGGCAGATGTGACTGCAACAATATCAATAACATTGCTGTTGCTGTTGTGCGAGGATAAATGAGGCAGAGTTTGGTGTGCTCTGAATGCCCAGCTCCCTGTGCTATAGTTGAGGCCTGCATGGATAGTGACAATAACAAACAGGCATGATTAGGCCATGCACACACAGCTGTTGTCTTTCATTAATTTTTCATTAAGCTTTGTGGAGCAGATAGCTCTGTATTTAGCATTATATTTCAAATGGCTAACCAGCATGCACTTCATTGCCTTGGTTTGGCTGCAAGATTATTCATTCATTCATTCATTCATTCATTCATTCATTCATTAAAGCAGCTCTGATCAATATTTTTATGTTAGAAATAGATCATGTGACCACTTGTATGTGAAAGGAGTCACTCATAGGGTTTTTTTACTCATTTTCTGGCCCACAACATTACTGTTCTTGGTCTCTGTCACTGTTCTTATCAGCGTCGCTTTTTGCCACAGCAGGCAGCCTTTTTCAGAAGAAATCCTCGAAAACCTCAGTGTTTGGTACCTGCCCAGCATAAATGGCAAACAATTTAAATTTGTGACTAGTTTGTGAACATCATGGAGCTCAAGAGCCAGATATTTTGCTCAATTCATAACCTCTGAATTGCCATTGTAACTAGACAAGTGTGCAGTACCTTAGTTTGAGGTAGAAAATGTTTTGCGTGAACTGATGAGAAATCACACATCCTGACAAGGGAATTTAAAATACCTGAATCATCTCTGCAGTGTTGAAATCATTACTAAAAGTAAATTAGAACAGCAGCAAAAGTAGAAAAGGTCGGAGATGGACTGCCAACCTCCAACCTTCCAATCACAGCCTCCTTTAAAATGACCTTTGCTTATCACCAATGCGCTCTGCCCTGATATGGCTGTAGCCTATGCTCATTATTTTACTCCATATATGACTGTACATCTGGCACCAATTGTCTGCAGGTTCATCCAGTGAACTTTTTTTCTGCAAATGATTTGCAGGCCACAGTGAGTCCATCAGAATCAGTGACAGACTAAGCTGTATCATTCTTGCTGCAGTGGGAAAGAAGAAACTGATCAGGCAAAGCATTAAGCATTGTGCTAGTATTCCATCATAGCTTGGTACTGAGAAACACAATGGCCATTGTGTCATTTCTTCACAATGCTAGTTGATTTGTGGCAGCCTGATCAGTTTTCTGCCCTAACCTGTTGCTCTTCTTGGAGTTTCCTTTCGCAATTTAGCAGATTCCCCTTGAACAGTGGATCTGAGTTCAGCACTGAGGATCTGACTTAGTGGGGGAGAGTGACTGCTCAAAACTAACTGTTGTTATTGTGTGATCAATAACTCTGTGCTGGCTGACTGGGGGCTGACTTCAAATGTGTTATCACACTGTGATGACTACAGTTGTGCTGTCTGTCCTGAAAACAGCTGCTAAAAAAATAATCCCCACATTCTTGGAGACTTTGGTCATTTGATGTGTTGATACCAAACAAACCTACCAAGACAAACTGATTCATCACTGTTGCTTCAGTCAGCTGGAGTCAGCTGGGCACCACAGACAGGCTCGCCCTTACAGCTGATAATATGATATGTCATTGCCTGGCTCACCTTGTGCCTCCCCTAAGTAATTTCAAAAAGTCGCCTGCCACAGGGCACCATGGGACTGCACCAGCCTCATTATGTTATTACTTTTTATGGGCCTGCCCACCTCTCCTTTGTTCCACAGTCTCTTCCTTTAGTATTTGAATTTTTTTTTTTTCCCACTGACCATGAAAATGATAGCACCTCACTAGCCTGCCTTTAAGGAGCTGTAATGGAATTTAAAATAATGGTCCCTTTAGGACGGCAAGTGGGCAAGTGGAATGAGAAGTAGGGCAGCATAACCAATATGTCAGAGAAACTGACATTATTTAGTGCAGGGTTGGTTGAGTGTGTGTGAAGATGGCAGACTTGAACAGAAGTTAAAGATGGCGATGGTAGGGGTATTTTTGGGAGTGCTATGGAGCTATAAAAGGCATCTGCAAATGTCTGGTATGTGCACTCAAAGCAAATCTTACTCAGTATTGTATGCCTTATCAGTTATTCTTGGTCACCAAGATATCATTTGACATATAAGTGCTATAGTTTTTCTCTGCTCTGTTTGAAGACTCTCAACATTATATAAGAAGTCCTGATAAAACCACACTGTTCCACCGTGACAATTTGCTCATTATCTGTATTTTGGTCTTATCACTATTGATCTGTTCTGTAGAGTCTACAGCCATGCTAGCAGCTCTGTGAGACTGTACTCAACCAAAAGGTGCTTTGAGGGAAATGCTAACACAAATGTTAACATCATGTGTGTACCAAATGTCATAACAGTGCATCCATTAGTTGTTGTGATATATCACTCAAAACCACAAATGTGAACCTCATGGCAGTGCTACAGGGACAGTCAGGACATCACCAATGTCAGAGGGATACATCATCTTGGAACCATGAATATCTATTCAAAATATTGTGGCAAACCATCCAAGAGTTGTTGAGATATTTTAGTCTGGACCAAAGTGTTGGACTGACCAAACGACAGCCCAACATTGCCATACGTTGCTGTTAGCATGGCTTAAAAAAACCTACCAGTGGAGTAGTGCAAGGATATGTTGATAAGTTCTTCAAGTCCAAAGTACAGAGTGGTACAGTTGCTCTGTTGTAGAGATTTCACTGCCCCCATGAAAGTTTATATGCTAAAAGAAAAAAACTTAAAATGAGGCAATCTGAGGAGTAATAAATCACTTGTGGGTTTAACTGCCCACAACTCAAGTTTTGAGCTGGCCATAACTTTTGAAGAGCCACTAATCAAAAAAACAACAATTTAAAACAAAATTAGGACATGTGGTCATGGAGAAGACTAGAAAAAAAAAATAGTTATTGGTGCATAACTATGCTTTGTCCAGTGGTGGAAAGAAACTGTATGTACATTTACTGAAATACTGTATTGTACAATACAACAAAGTACAATTTTTAGGTGCCTGTACTTGACTTGAGTGTTTCACTTCACTTAATTTCACTCTTCTACTCTACTACATTTCTGTTGAATATTACACTTTTTACTCCCCTACTTTCAGATAAAGATTTTATATTAAAAAATGGAAAAGCTTATAAAATATGATGCATTTCCATGGATTAAACCAGTGGTTTCAATCCTTTTTAAATATCAAATAAATTGACCTACTTGGGGTCCACTGTCCCATTTCAGACGTCTATGAATTGTTAGCAGTTAGCAGTGTAATGAAGTATTTTTATGATGTTGTATTGGTACTTCTACTTAAGTATCTTAATACTCCTCCCATTATAGCATCTCAACACAAGTTCTTAGTCTTCATTATCTAACTCAGTTTTTCTGTGACAGCGCTCATCCTTGACGTCATGACCGTGGCTGGAGTCCAGAGACTGGTGAAGCGCAAAGGACCCTGGGAGATGACACCGGGATTCATGGACTGCGTCGCCATGGACTTCTACTCCTTCCCTGCCGCTCACGCCAGCCGAGCCGCCATGGTCTCCAAGTTCCTGCTGTCCCACCTGGTCCTGGCTGTGCCGCTACGCATCCTGTTGGTGCTGTGGGCCTTTCTGGTGGGCATGTCACGGGTGCTGCTGGGGAAACACCACCTAACTGATATGGTGTGTGGCTTTGCACTGGGCATGTTCCACTTTAGTTTGATGGAGACTGTGTGGCTCTCCTCAAGCACCTGCCAGACTCTTATTTCCATAAGCACACTCAGCTGGAGCCCCTTTTTCTGAGCTCCTGGTGTAAGGCTATGCTAGCACACAAGGCTTACTTAATACATGAACACAACAATGTCAAGGACTTAGGTAGGTAGGTAAGTTATTTTTCCAAGGGTTTTGAAGTTCTTATTGCAAAAAGAGAAGCATTAATATCTTGATGCAGATGCTGGCTTGCATGTAACACCCAAGACAAGCAGGTCATAAGACCTTACAAGGCCTTTACAATGCTTCACAAATCCTTGTATCTTCAGTCAGATCTACTCACACACACCCCTACTGCTCCTTCATAACAAAGGGAAAAATAAGACAAATGTAAACTGGCAACAATTTGGTAGAAATGTACATGCAGGATTAAGGTTTTTGATTTTTTTAAAGATTTTTTTCTTCGTTTTAGATTTTTGATTCTCATACAGTTTGAAAGCCGGTATGATTCATCCATAACTGAACTTTCGATTTAATAAATTCTGTCTTGAGTTTGTGTGCCTCCTTCTCTTTACCATCTTACTTCCTTTTACATCTACTCTGTTACCTCTTCCTTTTTTCTCCATTTTTTTTTTTGTAAATGTTTTGCTTTTATATTGGATTAGTAAAATACTTAAACCATGTTGAACACTGAATAGAGTTTGGTGTAAGACTGTAATATTGGATGTGACACTAAAATAGGTGATTGTTGTTTGGATATTCCGCATTGTTCCTAATTGGCATGAAGATAATGTTTGCGTATTTCTGATCTTTTTACTGTATGTTTATCAAATATGAACTTATTTTTGTGTAAAACAAATGTCACACTTGCACAGAATTTGATATTTTTCTTACAGGTTCAAATATGATTTCCTTCAACGTGCCATTTACAGTCTGCTGTAATGAGCTGAGATCTTTTCTTATTGCTCCTCAGCTCTTTCATTTCAGGCTGCTGCCTAACAGATGATTATGGTTTGTCTGTGATCCTGATTCTATGCCCCAATAAACAACTGAAGCCTGCAAAGCAAAAATATCTGTTTGAAGTATCAGTTTTTAAGAATTCATGCCTTTATTTTCTGAATGTGTTTTTTATGGATATTTGAATGAAATTTGATTTTTTCTTTTTCCTTTGTGGCAAACATATTTCAGTGCATTTGGTTTGGTGTGTAAATACTGTTTTATGTACATTAGTTTAGTTTGTTCTATATTTCATGTTTTTACTTTGTTTTTCCATCTTATTAATAAAATGAGGTGGACTGTCAGTAGAATGTGGATGCCTTGTATTTTAAATTGAAATCTGGAAACCGTCTGCCAACCAGGATGAGGGAAACACTGTTTAACATAAATTGATGAATGATGTTTACAAATCAGCCAAAAGAAGTTTAAGTGCCTAATTATAAGGCAGCTTTCCACAATAAATTGGTGTAATTGCTTCAAACATCACATGGACTGTAAGGTATCACACGGTGCACAACATGGTCAGGAAAAGAAGTGTGGTCTTTCGAAACCTCACATTTTCATTATGATCTTTCCAAAAGGCTCCAACTGGTATCCATTTGACATTCGACTTCTCTCACTTTCTTCAGGTTATCATTTTGAATGTTTGGCCGTTCTCAGCCTAAATTAAAGTTTATAAATGCGTTCTACTTATTTCACAGAAAAAGAATGCACTTCACATGGAGCATCAATCTAAAAAAAAATGTGGACATCCACTATTACATCTTGGCAGTTCTAGTACAACTACTCTACAAGAGTGCTCTTCACTATGCAGAGTTCACTTGACATAACGCTTCAGTGGTTGGTTATCAACAGATATTGTTTCAGATTTTTCCATATGGTTGCCTAGTAACTGAATTACTACGATTTTTAGATCAAGTTGTTTATCTGACTGAGATTTGATCCAGGCAGCAAAAACATTCATGTACTAGTGCAACAGTATTTCTGACTATCATTAAGGCTGTGAGTCTTCACAGCTTTTGACACTGCTTTCCTGTCACACTACTCTTGCCACAGGCACTCTGACAGGAAACGACACCGATGCAATGGCGTGTGCTCTGAAACAGTTCAAATAGCAGGAACAGAAACTGCTTTGAAAATACTCTGGCAGAGAGAGTCAGACGGTAAGACTTTAAATATCTTTTGCTGAATTTTCAGCTGTCAGAGATTCTTACACGTTCCCAGGTTGTGTGTGCACAGTCAGCTATCAGAGTAAGTTGGCAAAATGTCTGGGGAATATTTGCACCATATTCCTCCATCTTCATTTTTGAAAGCTTTTTTTAATCGAGCAGTGCAGAGTAGCAGAGATAGAAACAGTGAGGAGTGCAGACATGACAGGCACATGTTCCCTAATAGGAACCATTTTCTTTTTGCAAATGAAGATACACACTGACATACAGTATCTTGAACATCAAACATCATTACCTTCAAGAACAAATGGATTGTTTTCAGGGACATTTACAAAAATAGAATGACAGTTATTAAGCTGCAGTAGTCTAACCTGACACCATTATTGGACTTTTTCTTTGTGTTTTCTCAAGGTGAAATAAAAGTTGAAGTCAAACAGCTTTCCTCACTCTGAGGCTCTGTGCTTTTATTCTGACCAAGATTATTTGCTTTCTAGCGGAATACAAGCGACATCACAGTTTGTTACAAGATCCAGGTTTGTTTGAATTCTGCACCAATATCAAGGCCTCTACAAGCCTGCGAAACATGTACCCAAAATATCCCTGTGAGTAAGTGCTGATAGTGCTGGAAGGCTTGTTTCCACATGCACTGAATCAACAGACACCACACTCCCTACTGTTATGTCTTTATGCCCTGTTTGTGTCATGCTCTTGGTTAAATATAAAATAGATGAGAGGTAACATTAGACATCACAACTTTACAGGTGCCACTGATCTCTGTCTATGCTGTAAGGGTGTAGCTCTGTGCGTGTTGTAATGCCAAACAGCTATTCTGGTGATTGTCACACATTTGCATTTTCCTTCATCAGGATGAAAAAAAAACAAAACAACTGCTATCTAAAAGATTAGCCCTGGAAGCACTGCAGGCTTATAAACTGTATTTGCCACTCGTCTGCAAAATGGCTGCATTAAAATGAAATTAACTGCTTTAATAAACATTTACGCTGCTTACACATTTATTTACATGATAATTCATTATTCTTTTTTGTCCATGGTTTAAATCTATATCTTTACAGCCATCCTGCTGTGAGATCCAGTATCTGCAGCCTTTGAGAGGATGGCTGAGGAAGGGTTAGACGAGGGCTCCCTCTAGAGGAATCTGCTTTATTACACGTCAGTGTTCCTGGAACCAGTCTTGACTGATGTCATCATGAATGCTGGCAATGCTGTTGAAAGTTGTTTTTTTTTTTGTTTTGTTTTTTTTATTAAAAATTTTATTGTCTCAGTTTTCCTAGAAGAGCTCTTTCAGCAGAGGTTGGTGTTTTCAGACTTTGTTCATTTTATTATCAGGTAAAATATAGACTAGGGTTCCATTGTTGTTTTAATGTAATATCAATTTATTGTATATTTATTGTTCGATTTTAGGTCATTTGTAGTTAATTCAGAGGCACTTCCTTATTTTCTATAGTATAACTATATTCCCACACTGGAGTGAGAGATCAGCAAAACATTTTTAATTGATTATTAGACCAATTCTTCGTAGCGTCATGTAGTTTAGGATGGAATCAGTCATACCTGGAATAAGATCAAAACCAGGATACTGATGGGTATGTGAACTTACTGACATTTTGTCTGTGTTCTTTATTGTCAGAGAGGAAACACATTTCAAAGCTCATCTCTCTGTTTGCTGTACATTCCTTAGAGATCACAGTTAAACTGAACATATTGTATAAGACAATGTCACATAAAACTGAAGCAGAGTGAAATGAAGGAAAGCCATTTATATACAACAGACACATTTGCTTGTGGTAATTAATTACTTTTTCATCATTCTTACGGGAATTATGAGTCTTTTGTGCCAGCAACTGAAATCTGTAGAAAACAAAATTTCTTTTGGAAGAAGATGGAACGAAGAGCCAATGAGGTGAAGCTGTGGCAACAGAGATTTAATTATGAAATCAAAGTGAATGCACCAGACATTAGAAATAAATTCTCTTTACATGAGACCTGAAATAATTCATTCTTGTATTAAAAAAAATCAATTTAAACCAAATACTGTTGAGGAGTTACTGAAGACTAAACTAATACTTACTTATCACTGATGCACTCAGGATCATGCAGTCACAGAAGTACCAGCCATTCAGACTTCTTTTAAGGCTATGTTCTTTTAAATGCACCAAATGTTGCTAAATAGATTATTTCCTGTTAATCAGAAGTAATCCCACTGACACCTGGTGCTTATCAGTAGCCTACATCACAATGTACTGGCGTGAATCCATCACCTAAGAATAGATCACATCACTACTGTGTTATTCAACCGGGGGTGGAGAACAAAACTTATTTATTTTCATGAAGATGTTCAAAAGTATTGCTTCAAGTACTGAAAGTAGCAGATCATCTTACTCACATTCATATACATTTTGACATTTTAAAGCTAAAGTATTACTCTGTTGTCATTTTCTGAATTTCCCATTACATACTGTGCAGGCAGGTGCTTGGAAGATGGGATCATCCACAGGGTGGGTATTTCCGTTGCATGCAAAGCAGAAGCAATGCATGCAATGTTCTGAGAAAGGAGATACTAACATGTGTTCCAGTCTACTCCAGTTACTTTAGTGTGTCTGTCTTCTTCCTTTCCTCTATGTTAGAGTGTCTGTTTTATCTCTACTTGCATACTGTCAATGTCACACAATCATGTCAGAGCAGGAACTACATGTATATAGTGAGCTGGTGGAGGCTGATTACTTGTGTACGCCTGAATTTGGTCATGTTGAACTCTTAGCAAGTTGTACGCACACCCACATATGCGCACACAAAGACAATTTAATGCCTGTTTTCCTCACAACTGATGCTAGTAATAGACATTACAGGGTCACAGGGGGTGATCTATGATGTCATGAAAAGTTAAATTACCATAATGTGTCTGAGTTTCATAGATACCCAGTGAAAACAGTTTAATGGTCTGTCTGGCAGCTGTGGTCAAGCCTCAACGAAGGCTGTGGCTCAGCTGGTGGAAACAGGTTGATCATATATGATCCTGAGCAAGGCCCGAACCTCAATTGCTCCCAATCACAGTGGTTAGGCCAATGCCTTGCATGGTAGCTTCCCAGCATTGGTGTGTGTGTGTGTGTGTGTGTGTGTGTGTGTGTGTGTGTGTGTGTGTGTGTGTGTGTCTGAATTGATGAATGGGTGCCTTGGATAAAAGTGCTATAATGCAGTCCATTTACCAAAGCATCCCCATCCAGATATATTAGAAGAACAGAGAATCTATTCAGACTTTATCTGTGAGTGCCACCCTTCATTCAGGCTAGTGCAGTTTCAAGTGATTTACAGATGACAAACTGATAAGACAGCACAAATAAAAACAGTGAAACAATTTGAGACTAAAGAGACTAAATAGAGAGAACATATTTTATATTGATCAGTTACTTTGTGGCTGCAACAGACAAACGATCTCTGAATTTTTCTTTAAACAAGAGATAACACTAAATAATCACACAAAAGTTGGCTATACTCCCAGCTCTACCTAATCAGCATTGATGAGATGCTACCTATTCAATCTAATGGCATTGCCTTAATTAATGCAAATATGCATGTACTGTCAAAGTAAATTTTTAGAGTTTTATTGCAGTCACATTTGCAGAGAGGAAGATGCTGCAAACACTGCACACATTCTGAAAATTGTACAGTGAATATTCATAGTTCTATCTATCTATCTATCTATCTATCTATCTATCTATCTATCTATCTATCTATCTATCTATCTATCCTATCCACTATCTATCTATGTATTGAAATTAAGCAGCAGAGGCGCTGTTTCCTTCCTAACGTCGTTCGGTGACGTCACACGTATTCAGCCGAGCCGATCCAGCCTACACTCTGCCGTGTTCATTCTCAGGCCGGGTAGGACCCAAGCAACAACACAGCTATCGGTTCAACCTATGAAGATTGGGCTTTTACAATCGCCATCCATCCTTTGAGTAGACAAGATTTTGTGGAAATATATCACTGTCGCTAATAAGAAAATACCCTAAGTCGTTGAATCGGTGAGTTATGGA